TCTAGGCTTGTGGACCAGTATCTGCTAGTCCTGTACCACTGAAAATATACTTGTTCATTATTTTCATACTGACAGCCGCAGGCTCGTGCACCAGCATTTGGAAGAGACAGGAAGAGAGAGTGACCATTAAGGCATTTTACTGGTCTGTTGCCGGGGCATTAAACTATTTTTAGAGCACACTTAATTTGGCAAAACACAGGCATTGCGTTATCGGGTTATTGAGTTTGCCTCTCTACGCACTCTACAAATAAAGATTGATTGATTTAATATCGGAGGAAAAAACGAAAACCATTCTTTCAGATATTACGTAATTATGCTAATAACGGGCCGATAATATCGGACATCCCTGGTATTACTGCAAAGAACATCCCCCTGTGTGCTGTAACAGCGGGGCTGTCAGAGTAAACAAGTACGCGGTTTTTGCGGATACATCAAACAGCATGTTCCCCTTAAATGAATACCTGCGCAACATCAACTCAGGACTTTTCTGTTTAAATTTGAATTCACAGCCATCAAATGGGTTTAGTGGAAAACATAAACATAAACACAACCAGGAGATAAGTGGGTGTCACTTCAGCATGGTATTTTCACGGAGTTGTCGAGGAATCCTCACGGAACGGGAAAATCTAAAGGGCTCTGTCCGTATGGTATGATGTGATACACCAGTGGTTTTTACGCAACTTAAACTTGTCCGTTTTATGCTAGCATTGCCGACTTTGGTAAGTCGTGAGTGGTCATATTCATAGTCACTACTATGTTTTCGTGCGCACAACATTGAGATGGACTTCTGGACATCAGACTTTAAAGGCAGGATGAGTACCTTGCAAGCTATCTTAACAAATGCTGCCAGTCATTGAACTAGCTGAAACTACTACTTACCGTAAGTGATAGTAAGTACCGAATTTTCCACACTATAAGGCACACTTAAAAGTCTTTACTTTTCTCAAAAATCAACAGTGCACCTTATAACCCGGTGCGCCTTATGTATTACTTCAGGTTGTGCTTTTACTGAGCTCAAACCGATTTTATAAAGCCAAACCACACAGCGCATCACACACGATGGCACACAACTGAAGCACACTGGGAGTCACCAATGCTCGTTGTACCTCCCAACACCCGGAGACACGACAACAGCGCCCTCCAGTGTCCAACTTAGATCACTACCCGTTTTCACAAATCTCCGTCCTTATCGATCTGCGACTCCACGCGCGCCCATCTCACCGATATTGTCAAAACCCAAGTGTAGCAAACTAATTCGGGCCTTGCCATCATTCTGGGTGGATTTACCACAGAATTCCGACCGCTAAATATTGGTGTTAACAGGGCGTTTGAAGTTAAATCGCGAGCTGCGTGGGAGCATTGGATTACAGAAGGCGAACACACATTCACCGAGACAGGGAGGCAACGGCGGGCTAGTTACGCCACTATCTGCTAATGGATGGTGGCAGCCAGGGCTAAGGTATCAGTCTCAAATGTCGTCCGAGCTTTCACAAAGGCCGGAATAATCACTGAATGGCTAATTAACAGCAACGAGACTGACTCGGATAATGTGCCTTATGTATGAAAATAGACCTGGCCATTGATATTACGCCAACTGAATTAGCCTCTTGGGTGTCAGGTTTCTTGTCTTAGTGTTTAAAATAGTGTTTTACCTATTTTGATGTCAAGCATTAAAAGCTTAAAAAAAACAAACACACATTTTCAAATAGAGAAAGAAAATTAACTATACTGAAATTATTTGATCTGTATTTTCTCACCAAAGAAAAAACCTGCTCTTCAATGTTTGTTTGGTTTTTTTTTTTCAACAATTATTTTCAGATTAGTATCAAAGATTAGTGTATTTGGACTGAAGATCTCAACAAAATGTGGCTTTGCCCTGACTTGTTTTCTTTTGTACATATCTGCTTGGAGTTATGGCTGCGGTTTATCGCTGCTGTGCACATCCATCATACCACACTAAAGTAATCATGGAACAAACAGCTCACATTACACTCTGAGTTTCAAACCCAGGTGAGGAAATATTGAACTTTTGGCTCACACAAGGATTTCAAATGTATTCCCAAAAAAAAAAGAAAGAAAAAGAATATCATGAAAATAGTAAAAGTTGATGGCATTTTGCAATTTTTTTCAATTACGCTAAACTGCATTGGCCATGCATTTTAACAAAGTACATTTTACTAACCAAAACTTTCATACTCCATAAGATGAGCTTAAGTACTCTGCTGTACAAATTATCCACGCATTCTAACAAGTCCTTTTTTTTTCATCTCTATCTATGCCGATGATGGAAGTCCAGTCTGCCTTATCGTCTTCATGGTTAATTTTTAGCTTAATTTTCAAGGGTGCGGTCACTACACGCGGTTCGGTAGATCTGTCTTTGACCATCCAATCAAATCACTCAAATCGTCAATGTAACTGTAAGCCTACTGAAAGGCCTTAAAATCTGATTGGTTGGAGGCAGATTCAAATAAATATCTGATAACAAGATTGTAAAGGAGGCAGTTGTTTTTTATTCTCGTGCGAAAATGTTCTTATGAACCGAAGGGGACCCAGAAGAGAAAGTGCTCCCTGCACCCGCACTGAAAATAGGCTGCTGCATTGGCGGAATATTTAGGCTCATCATGCCAACAGATTCTGGGCACTTAAACCTGACACAACCCTTGACTGCACCCTCAACCCATGTTGCCTCACTGGTATACAAAGCCCAAGACTTACCAACTGCTCTAGAGTAGCAGACATCGAAAGCCAGTTGTGTTCCTTCTTACCCGAGGTGCAAGAGAACCCTGAACTGCCACCCCCAAATCCCTAGCAACCCCACACATACGTTTGCACACAAGCAAGAACTAGGGTATGTCTGATAATATCGGTTGGAGATATTATCGGCCGATACAATGGTTTGTACAGAGAAATAAATAAATACCGTAATTTCCGGTATATATAGGACGCACCAAAATTAAATTCAAAAAGAAAAAAAAAGAATTGTACATATAGGCCGCACTTCTCTATAAGTCCATGATTTAAAATGTTAAAAAATAAAAAAAATTTAAAAAAAAATTTCGAACAGTGCCTGTAACACGACTGGTTACACGTTAGCTCTTTCCTGCTTTGGCGACCCGACCCTAGACCCTAGCTAACATTAGCTCTGTGGCTAACTCCATTCACTTTGTGCTTGTCCGCAGCAGAGGTAAACAGAAACAGGAAAGGTGGGTTCTTCATTATCAGCCATACTAACAACAGCAGAACAAATACAGAGTTTTAACAGCTCCTGTATAACCAACTCGCCTTCCGGACCCAAGTCCGCTTCCTTAACCACTAAGCCACCACTGCGCACATATACGCACACAGCCATAAATTAGCCGCACCATTGTTTAAGCCGCAGGATTCAAAGCGTGTGAAAAAAGTAGCGGCTTATAGTCCAGAAATTAC